CTCCCCGCTCGCGCCCCATCCTACGGCGAACTTCGGCCAGGTAACTCGGTGCCCTCTTTTTCTTTCCCGTTCGCATACGTGCAAGACAGAATAAAAAAAAAAATGTTTCAAACTTCCTGTTATTTTTAGTCTTCATCAAGTTAAGAATATATTGTGATTCTCTATGGGTTATGTGCTTGCTATGCTGAAATGAGATAATTAAGCTGATGCATTCAATCTCTTTCGCAAGTAGCAGCGTTTGAACATGACTTCGTGCTTTAACATCTACTTTATACTAATAGTATATATATAAATATATATATATATATATTGGTTGTCCACCATATTATTATATGTGAAGGTTAAATCCTGAATTACGACTCGTTAACTTAGAGGGTGAGATTAACTTTACATGTATCCACCCTTACCGAATGATTGGGAAAGTAGAATTCGGATGGTACTAAGCTTTGCTGTGAAACAAAATATTTATGAATGGACAATGAATTTATTTGCGGAGAATTCACAATTGCTCACTGCTTGTTTATGACCTTCATCTGGAATTATGAATATATTTTGAAGTATTCAGCGAACCAGGTGTTTATATCGTAGTTCTTGATTTGGAAAGTATTTATAAACATACCAGACACAACTTATGCGTGCATATCTAATACCTGAATTCCAATCTTTGTTGCATACATATATTATCTTACCTATATTTGGAATTCATGTGCAAGCCTTTATGCAAATTTCATCCATGAAATGATTTCATTTGGAAGAACATATGATTTTTTTAATGTCATTTCTATTGAATTTCCTATACAAATATTGATGAAAATATAAAGTTCTGATGCTCTCGTCTGGAACAGTTTGAAAGTTTTAAAGTTTGTCATCGCGAAAATATGAAAAATTTGAACATTCTTATTTATGAAGATTTTAGAGACTTACAAATGCTGTTTTGAAGCAGTTTACGTACTGTTTTGATGTCTTTAAATGCAAATTTTGTGTCCCATTTAAATGTTAATTTTTTTGAGGACTTTACTTCTTGCTGTTTTAATGTTGTTTGGAGGACAATTAAATGATGTTTTGGGGTCTGTTTTGGGCTGATTTTGCTATAATTTCTAGAGTTTTAAATGTACACTTTTAGGAAGGTTTTGTCACTATTTTGGGGCTGGAGTTGGAGAAGCTTTATTCACTGTTTCGGGGCTGATTTTGATAGTTCAATTTATTGTTTTGGGTTTTACTTAATTATCATTTAAACGTTTTTTTTTAGGTCGATTCATTTGTTATTTTCCCCCTTTCGGCTTTGCTAGTTTTAGAGGTGGGTCAACCTCTTTCTTATTTTCCTTTGTTTATTTTTAAATGGTTAAGTCATA